AGAACTTGAAAGAAGAGATGGTGTAACATCCCCATTTTTCAGACAGGGAAACTGGCCCTCTGTCCTTGTAGCTGTAAGGAGAGGGGAGAACTAGGCAGCTAGCATTGTTGTTGTTTTTTTAATCCTTTCTGGGTCTATTGTCATCTCAGCATCTCCCAGCTACTTCTCATGTTTTGAATCTTGGGGCTAGAGGAAAAAGAAACAGACCCTCCTGCTGTTGTTAGGTGCTATTGAGTTGGTTCTGACCCATATGCACAATAGAATGAACTACTAACTGGTTCTGCACCATTCTCACAATCATTGCTATCTTTGAATACCTTCCAACCTGAGGGACTCATCTGCTGGTATATCAGACAATGTTTCACTGCTTTTCATAAGGTTTTCTCCGGCCAATTTTCTTAGAAGTCAATCACCATGTCCTTCTTCTTAGTCTGACTTAATCTGGAAGCTCAGCTGAAACTTGGTCACCATGAGTGACCCTGCTGGCATTTTTAAATACCATTAGCACAATTTCCAGCATCACAGCAACACACAAGGCACCATAGTACAGCACACTGACAGATGAATGTGGTGAAAGATATATATATATAGGTCCTTCTAGAGGTAAGAATCACCACTTGTCTGTCAGTGCGCCATACTGTGGTTGCTTACGTGTTGCTGCGATGCTGGAGTCACCCACAGTGGACAGGTTTCAGCAGAGCTTCCAGGCTAAGACAAATTAGGAAGAAGGAAAGTTGGACTAATTCTGAGTGGTTAGCCACTGGAAACCTTACCAATAGCAGCGAAACACTATCAGATATAATGCCAGAAGATGAGCCCCTCAAGTTGGAAGATACTCAAAGTACAACAGGGGAAGAGCTGCCTCCTCAACTAGAGTTGACCATGATGATGCAAATGGAGCAAACCTGATGGAGCACAACTCAAAATGAAGTAAATCAGCTACAAACACCCATTCATAATTAAAATATGGAATGTATAAAGTATGAACCTAGGAAAATTGAAAGTTGTCAAAATTGAAATGGAATGCAGAAAGACAGTACTGAAGGAAGATGTCCAGGCTGCACTAGAGTTGTTGGTGTAAATCAAGGCTCCAGGAATTGACAGAACACAAACTGAAATCTTTCAGCAAAGTGGTAGCGTATTGGAGGTGTTCACTCATCTATGCTAAGAAATTTGGGAAACAGCCACCTGGCCAATCCTTTGGAAGAGATCCATATTTGTGCCCATTCCAAAGAGCAGTGACCCAATGGAATACAGAAATCAATGAACAGTACCATTAATATCACATGCAAGTAAAATTTTGCTGAAGATAATTAAAAAATAGTTGTTAGCAGTACATAGACTGGGAACTGCTAGAAATTCAAGCTAGATTCAGAAGATGTGGAATGAGGCTATCACTGCTGGTGTCAGGTGGATCTTGGCTGATGACAGAGAATACCAGAAGGATGTTTACTTGTGCTTTTATATTGACTACACAGACTGTGGACTTAGTGGACATTGATAAACTATGAATAACATTATGAAGAATGGGTATTCCAGAACACTTAACTAAGGAATCTGCATACAGACCAAGAGACAGTTGTTCGAATAGAACATGGGAACACTGAATAGTTTAAAATCAGGAAAGGTGTACACCAGGGTTATATTCTTTCAAAATACTTATTCAATCTGTATGTTGAGCAAATAATCTCAGAAGCTAGATTGCATGAAGAAAAGCATGGTGTCAGGGTTGAAGGAAGACTCATGAACAATTTGCGATATGCAGATGATACAACCTTGCTTGCTGATAAAGATAAAAAACTACAGCCTTCAGTAGGGATTGCAGTTCAGTGTAAAGAAAACAAAAATCCTCACAACTGGGCCAGTAAATAACATCATGATAAATGGAGAAAAGATCGAAGTTGCCAAAGATTTCATTTTGCTTGGAACCACAATTGACATTCATAGAAGCAGCAGTCAAGAAATCAAACAACATATTGCATTAGGCAAGTCTGCTGCACAAGACTTCTTCAAAGTGTTCAACAGCAAAGATGTCAATTTGAGGGCTAAGGTGTGCCTCATCTCAACCATGGCATTTTAAATAGCCTCATATGCATGTGAAAGTTGAACAATGAAAAAGAAAGACCATAGAAGAATCAATGCATTTGAATTATAGTGTTAGCAAAGAATGTCAAAAGTACCATGGACTGCCAGAAGAACAAACAAATCTGTTTTGGAAGAAGTGCAGCCAGAATGCTCCTTAGAAGCCAGGATGGATAGACTTTTGTCTCTCATACTTGGGACATGTTATCAGGAGACACCAGTCCCTGGAGAAGAAATTATGTTTGGTAAAGTGAAAAAGAGGAAGACCCTCAACAAGATGGACTGACACCGTGGCAGCAGCAATGAGTTCAAATGCAACAAGCATGAGGATGGCATAGGGCTGGGCAGTGTTTCATTCTGTTGTGCAGTGGTACACTAGGAGTTGGAACCAACTCACCGGCATCTAACAACAACAGAGGTAAGAGGGAAGGGCCCAGAACCAAAGTCCCTCTCAATGGGGCACAGATTGTACCACTCCCTGACTATGACTCCTAATTCCACATTACCAGAGGGCTTTCCATAGTCAGCTCTCACCATGTCATCTGCCCCAAGCTTCCCCTGGATTGCTGTGGCTGTGATGGGGTTATCTGTGAGTCCCTGAGTACAGGAACCTCACCCAGGCCTGGGAACCAGAGACCGGCTTTAGAACCCTCTCACTCCTGGGAATCCAAGATAACTCTCAAGAAGACAGACTTCCCCTCCCCATGGTGGTGGTGGGTCACAGTACAGAGAAATGGAGATTCCACCTTCCAAGCCTTCACTATTGCTGAAGATCCACTGGTCACACTACAAAGAGCAGGTCAGAGGGATGGGAGGGCAATGGTGGGGGTGGGGGGG